CTCTCTCTCTCTCTCTCTCTCTCTCTCTCCTCCTCACCTCTCACTCTCCTCCTCTTCTCTCTCTCTCTCTCTCTCTCTCTCACACACACACACACGCGCGCACACACACACACACACACTCACTTTCTCTCTCTCTCTCTCTGCCCGCATACAGGTACAAGCATCACAGGCAGCCGACGTGTCTCGCGGACGCTCACATCGCCCTCCAGCAGGTTCTCACCAACAACCCGCATTGTCTGCTCATTCTCGAGGACGTCAGGTCGTTCAAGGTCATCGAGCATTTCAACGTACATCCGCGCACCCTGGTGACGACCCACGATAAACAGCTGGTAGGTGCGGCAGTAGCACAATATCAGGGGGTTAATAATGGCAAATAACAAATGGCAAATAATGATAAATGACGAATAACCCCTGACAATATGTGTGTCTGCGTGCGTGCGCGCGTGCGTGCGTGCGTGTGTGTGTGTGTGTGTAACTACTGTGGACTATTTTAAAATACCTTACGATCATCATACTAACCCTAACCCTAAACCTAACTCTAAATCCGAATCCTAACCCTAACCCTAAACCTAACTCTAAATCCGAATCCTAACCCTAACCCTAAACCTAACTCTAAATCCGAATCCTAACCCTAACTCTTAGCCATCTTAGCCTCTAACTCCTAGCTATAAGCCTTAATCTTAATCCCAACCTCATCCATAAATACGAATCCCAACCCTATCTCAAACCGTAATCTTAATTCCATCCTTAACCACAAATCCTAATCCAACCCTAACCCAACCCTAACCCTAACCCTAACCCTAACACAATCCTTACGGGGCGTGGTCCTAAAGTAGACTTGACCAGAGTGATGCACGGACAGGAGTTCCGGGGGTTAATCACGGAGATCGTTTGCTGCCGTGTGAACCGATGTCATCCTTGATGCCACTGTGTATATAACCTTGGTAGTTATCCAATTTTATGAATTCAGAATTTATTGTAAAAGTATGCTATGTATTGTATATGATGGATAATTGCCTAAATAAATAAAATAAAAATAAAATAATAAAAAATCCGCGATCATATGCACGTATTACGTAGGTCGACAGAGTCAAGCAGGATCTAACGTCGGCGCTCGTCGACCTGGTGTACGTCGGCACGAGTAGCACGACGTACGTGCCAAACTTCCGCGACTCCGTCTTCCGGCGATCGGCGGGACCTATGGACGCGGGAGGCAGCGCCAACAACGGCAGCTTCGTAGCACACGATGATTCTACTGAGGGTACGTATAGAATATATAATATATATATATATATATATATATATATTACTGATGACGTGTTCTACACAGATGCTCGACATGACATGCGGCTGTTCACAGACACTTCATGCTGACCTGTATACATCATTTCATCAACCTTGCTATCTCTCCACTCCGTCGTTATAATCCGCATGCACTCTGAAGAATAACAGAAAAACATGAAGACATCTTCATGAACCTATGAGGTCACCCGCGACATTACTGCCCGTCCTTGTTCACGCACGGTTTTATTTTCCGCTCTCAACGACGTATAAATCAGTTGGTCAGCCTTGGTCGCTCTCCCTTTCTTCGTCACAGTCCGCTAGACTTTTAGCTGAATTATAACCGCTGAAAAATCTCACGAGGTTATGGGGTTATCCTCTGCGAATCTTATCTGTCCTTATTCGCATGTACAGGTTAGTTTTCCGCCCCCAACGACTTATGAACCATGGGCTAAGCCCCATGGAGTCTCCACTTCTTTGTTATACTCCGCTATTATTTATTGATGAACGATTATTAATGAGCGTCACTGATGGCCGATGACACTGATCGCTGTCTTTGTCTCCAGGTTGGTTTTCTGTCGTCAACGACGATGCCAAGCCCAGGGCTCTTCACTGCAGCATAGAGGAGATCGCCAAGACACGCTCGCAGTACTTCCTTGTAGAGAGTGACGTGCGTGCTTACAGAGACGACGGCCGACCGAGGTCACGACGCACCGACGACGACGACGGAGAGGAGAAACCTGAGGACGACCGACTGAGTAACGACGCGTCGTCGTCGTCGCCAGGCGACGGCGTGGAGGCAAAGCTGTACGCGGCGACCGTCGTCGAGTCCGGTACGATTCTCAAGGCGGTCGGCATCTTCGCCGACGAGAAGAAAGACGTGCGGCGACCGGGCGACGACGACGTCGCCGCGAGGGCCGACGGCGACGAGAGAAGCGAAACGGAGAGCAGCGCCGAGAAGGAGGCAGACAGCAAGAAGATGACAATAGAAGAAGCGAAGGAGGAGAACGAGAAGGAAGCGGACGAGGAGACGACGAAGAATGACGGTCCAGAAGAAAAGGAGACGGAGAAGGAGGACGGCGGTGGCAGCTTCTACTTGAAATGCACGAACAACAAGAGCGAGTTTCTCTTCCTGCCCTATCACCGCCGTGGTGACTTCTACCCGATCGCGCGACCCGGCTCTCAGAACCCTCACAAGCTGCACACGCTCTCCAACCTGCTGAAGCAGTTCCCGCTGCCGCTCACCGTGCGTCTCGTCCACGGCATGACGCCGTCGCGACACCGCACGCTGAGACTCGTCGAGCAGCTCACGGACGACGCCTACGTCGCCTGCTGCTTCGCCGACGACCGACGCATCATGCTCGAGCTCAACCCGGCCGCGGTGTCAGCGACGTTCGAAGCTCTGGCCGACTGCAGCGCCGCGGTGGCGGCGTGCGGGGACGCGAGCGCGTGGTGCGACGAGAAATCGCCGCTCTACCTGCGCCAGATTAAAGTCGGTGCCTGCTTCCGCGGCAGCGCGAAACCGACGTCGCAGGCGGCGGCGGAAAAGAAGGAGGATACCGACGGTCATCTCTTCTACAGTTACGTCGACGTCGGCGATAGATGCCGGGGCGACTACGGACACGTGCCGAAGACAGGTGGCCGGACGCCTAGCGGCAGGACGTTCAGCGGTGTTCGAGCCTTGCTTCCCATCAACATGAACAAAGTGACGCGGATCTTCCGACACAGGGCCGGCAAGGAGAAGATCTCGCAGAAGGAGAGCAAGGAGAAGATCTCGCAGATGTATAGTGTGTGCGTGCGTGCGTGCGTGCGTGCGTGCGTGCGTGCGAGTGTGTGTGTGTGTGTGTGTGTGTGTGTGTGTGTGTGTGCGTGCGTGTGTGTTTGTGTGTGTGTGTTTGTGTGTGCGTGCGTGTATGCGTGTGTACGTCCTAATTGTATACTAGTGGAACCGCCCACAATATCTATAAATGTTTATAAGTATAGATTTTGCATTTATATTTTCAAAACATAATACAATGGATTTAAACGCAACGAAGTCTGTTTTACAAGCAATAGAACGAGAAAGGATGAGTTTCATTGTTACGCCACACCACAGGGATGGCATTGTTAATAAAGATTTTAAAATGCGTTAATGATAAACTGATCGCATTTACTCACAGTATGCTGCTGGCGACAATGATGTATGTGTTTTGAAGTGGTGCCGCGGGTGAACCACTGCTCACATATATTTGATTACCACATTACTTTCCATCATCTTCTTGATCCTACCGCTACGTATGAGTCCATGTCAGGCAATGCGTGCGTGAGTGTGCGTGGTTGCACGCGCGCGTGTGTGTGTGGTTGTACGCGCGCGTGTGTGTGTGTGGTTGCACGCGCGCGTGTGTGTGTGGTTGCACGCGTGCGCGCATGCGTGCGTACGTGATTGCGCGCGTAAAGTAAATATTTAGTGAGTAAACATAAGCGTATATATAACTATACATTTTAATCTTGGATATTGATACATATTTTTAGCTAGCACCACACCAATATTTACTCCGAGTGACCATGCAAGGAATGCCGGCGAATATCACCTGTAATTTCTTAATTGCGGCGCCTTTGATGTATATGTTTTAAGTGCGGAGATAAAAGCCAAAATTAGCCCAGCATGCCGCCTACGCAACCAGCTCTAAGGATGCCTGACTCACTTCGCTGCTGTCTATATATATACCCACGTACCAATCTGGCTCCAACCCACTGACACTAACTCATCTGTCTATACAGGTAAACCTACCTACCTACGTGTCCGCCTCCCCCCCCCGAAACCCCCACCGCTGGCTCGTAAACCTACCTATAATTACCTGTCCGGCCCCCGAAACCCCCGCGCATGACTCACGTGCCCACAGGTAAACCTACCTACCTGTCTGACCCCCAAAACGTCTATCGCTGACTCATCTGACCACAGGTAAATCTACCTACCTACTTGTCCGGCCCCAAAACCTCCGCCCATGACTCACCTCACTACACGTATATACCTGCCTGCCTATCCGGTCTCCGAACCACACCCACAGGTGCTCGCGGCCAGACTTACCACAGAGCTGTCCCCAGCGTGTTCGCAGACGATCGGGGTGCGTAGGCAGGCAGGCGTGTAGGCGTACGCGTGCGCAGGTAGCGAGCGACGTCACTTAACGTGTGCGCGTCGGCGTTTATCCGAAACAAAAACGTGTTCCCTGGACTCTCTCCATCCAGAACCTGTTCGCGACGTTGCCAAGGAGAGCAAGGAGAAGATCTCGCAGAAGGAGAGCAAGGAGAAGATCTCGCAGGAGAGCAAGGAGAAGCTGTCGCAGAAGAGCAGCAAGGAGAAGTTTACGGAGAAGAAGGAGCCGGCGACCAAGTCTGGTGCACCTCCGGAGAAGATGCCGATACTCGAGGAGTCGTCGATAGCCGACTGCGGCGAGCCGACGACCTTACCCAGCTCTGAGCTGTAACTTACGTACCACGTGTGCGTGTGTGTGTGTGTGTGTGTGCGTGCGTGTGTGTGTGTGTGCGTGCGCGCGTGTATGTGCGCGCCCGCGCGTGCGTCTGTGTTGTCTATATTGGCATATAGCATTGACGTGTAGTATTGACGTCAGTATATAACGCGGCTGGGCAGCTGTGCGATTTGCAGACGCCCTTGAATCTGATCAAGCAGGGCCACTTGTTGAAACAATAGTTGCGCAATGGCGGCGAGAAATTGAGTGTAGCAAGCGCGTATAAAGAAGGTACCTTCTTAATACGCTCTTGATTGTAGGCATAACCGCAGCACAATAAGTTGTTGGTCTTTTTCATATTGTTATATAGTATGACCTGGGGGCTGCTGCTCTCTACTGAACTTATGTTGATAAAAGAGAAAAAGTAAATATTTCTGCTTGCATATCATGATATTCATATATGCCATTTCATGTTTTATTATTACTTCATCAATGTATACTATTTTGTATGATAATGGGAAAGGCAAAGTGTCGGACATAAATAAATTTCTGTAACTAACAGAAGATAATTATAAATAATTAAAATTACTGTAAGGTTTTTAATTATCACTCAGCCATCATTTCATAATATATTTCTAAAGAAAACTGAATATGTGTACATTTATCCATATACAGTAATCAATAGAAAAGAAAAGGACAAGAATTTGCTTATATTTATACATATATATAATATATATATATATATATATATATGATTGAAAGTTTTCAACTGGAATTTAAACTACGTCGTGCACATAGCACATACTGAATATAGGCATCGATCAATTTGCCATTTACCTACAATTCATATCAAAGCCACCTTATAGATCAAGAAAATGATGCACACGCACACTTCACTTCCATGTCAACTGATTCTAACCACGTCGACTATTTCTCCGATATACTGTACATATTTACAATAAACTATCTTTGCTTTGCAAGATGCACTGATTTTTACACAATGAAATATAAACATGAACTCAACTCCGCCATGCAGCATGGCATGCGTGAACGAATCTCGCGTTGCTGTTGAGTACATTTAGGCATACTATCAAACACTCTCTCTGTACACTCCCACAACTGCATTTCATATACTAATCACCTAGTGATCACAATCAATCTCTCGAGTTCTGAAACATCAAAATTCCTACAATGAATCTAGGGAAAACTGTGCATCACCGAACCACATCGATGTACCCTGTACAAAAAAACCCTGGCAGCATATGCGAACGTACGAGTTCCTCACACTTTTGCAAAGCTAAGGCAGACGATGAGACAGGATAAATTAAACCTGCTTTCGAATCAATCGAAATCAGTATCCCTGGAATCCAACAAGCAATTCATTTTCACAGTTCATACGATTAGCGAATGCCACCATCAACATCTCGATATCAATATTCAATTCTGGTTCCAACGATCACGTTCTCTGTGAAAAAAGGGCAACAAAATAAATAGTAAAGCATTACCGAAAGTCACTAACTGACGGCAAAAATTATTACAATTGTATTGACGACATCACTTTATATGAAGCAAAAAAGCAAGCTTTTTTATAGAGGGGGAACCGGTCTCCTTCTCCTCTGTCTGGATACTAGATGGTACTCTGAATTTGCACAGCAGCCATGTTGTTTAGATAACATTTTGACACTCCAACACTCAGACATATTTGCATGTCTTAGATTCCAACATGCAAGGGCGATATGCGCGAATCAGCCAAGAACTGCATTAGACACTTGATAGAAGCAATTATACTGTGAACCGAAGTCGCAGAGTCAACATCTAGGCAATCTGCAGGTAAAACACTTCAGTTGGAGTTAGGATAATGAGCATTGTAGCACAGGTATCCAGCGAGCAGAGTGGGCGTTTCCCCTTCCCTGCATAACAATACGTGTCAGCTAATCGTAAACTTGTGATGTCTAGAGATGACGTGGAGGAAATTGAATACAACATGAGTGCTCAAGAGACGACTGCGACAGATCGATAAGCACACCTTCTACTTGCAGCCCACTGATGTGGAGACCAGCTTGTGGCGCCCCCTGATGTGGAGACCGGCTTGTGGCGCCCCCTGATGTGGAGACCTGCTCGTAGCGCCCCCTGATGTGGACACCTGCTCGTGGCGCCACCTGATGCAGAGACCCGTTCCCGCCCACGGATTAGGGAGCCGCTGATAGCGCCCCCCAAAGTAGGAATCGACTTGTGGTGTGCCCTGATGCGGTCGTCGTGGCGACGGGCGGCTACCGTATGAAGCAGGTGACGCAGAGCTTTGAGGGACCGATGCAGTCGTCATGGCGACAGGCGGCTAATGTACGCCTGCTTCAAGACTCGCTTGCTTAGATGAACGCTTGGCACGAGCGTCACGCCTTACCATATATATAACCATTATTACCATATAATATCATATAATATCACCATAGTTCCCAAGCGCGGTTATGTCGAATAAAGGAATAATTGGAAACGTACGACTGCATGTGAAGAATTAAGGGTGATTATTGCGCGCTTGGTGATCTCAGTGTTGGTCAGGTTTTGCTGTCTAAGCAGATACACCGTGCCTGCAAAACCTGCGTAAATAATACCGCCTCTAGGCGGAGTCGCTTTTATGGCTGGTGCGTCGAGTTGATCAGTTGGAAACCTTGACACACACGATCTCTCTCTGTCTGTCTCTCTCTCTCTCTCTCTCTCTCTCTCTCGCTGTCTCTCTCTTACTTGGGCGGTGTCTATACACCTGCGTAGATGTCGGTCCGTCGCGCATGCCTGCCGGCGTGGCACTTTCCTCGAGGCTGTCACTTGTGTAAATATCGCCTTGGTAAACGCGTGCGCGAATGTATGGGCCCCACGCACGGTTTCCACGAAAATACCAATTCTATGAAACGTATATAGTATCCGATGCATGCACTATAACGATGGATGACTTGGCATCGATTTGGACCCACAATCATTGTTGCGTCATTGACGTAGAATGTTACTAAACACGGAAATGGTCATGATGAGTTATACCGCGTGATGCGTGGGCGAAACTCACCGGAGACCGCACCTTATTCTAAATAAAATCTACGCTAATTGTCCGCAAATTCCTTCACCCCGACTCACATGACTCCGTACGTGGGAGTTTCTACATGACCACGATCTCGGTTTCTCAACACTGACATACGCGGGACTGAACAACGAGATGGAAGACATAGATTTGTCAGTTCGAGTTCTGGTATCCGTTGTCAGAAACAACGCACAGATGTGACTAAAATTAGTACTATGGTACTACTACTTACGACTAAGTTAACGACTGAAATTAGTACTATGGTACTACTTACGACTAAGTTTACGACTGAAATTAGTACTATCTAATACTTGAGCGTAATCTTACGAGTAAAATGTTTCTGACAATTCGGCGCCATGTTTGTAATGCACGACAGTGGGTATAGACAACTGAGAGTGGGTAGAGACTTGATTCTCTCCACGCGCTGCAACCATAGGTAGTCCGAAAGTACCTATGCGTTAGGTGGACTGAAACTAGTTATGACCGTAAACTGCAACAGGTTGAAAGTTTTGAAGGTTATCGAGTTTTATCTGCCGTGCGTGTTCGGGATTACAATAAGCTAAACGCCAGTCGAGCAGTGTGTATAGCCATTTCCCATATCCCTGTTAATTCTGTATTTTGATATCCCAGCCAAGAGTGTACAGATTATTACATATGAACAGGAGAGAATAATGATAACTTAATAATCTATTAGATCTAAATTGGATCTATTATTATTCACTCCTGATATCAGCATATACGGTATACGTTATGTTATTTATCGCACATTATGCGTTGTGTTATTTCTGCTCTACTACTACCAAAGTCTTCTATTCTACTAAGTGACTGCTTCAGTGCGCTTTCGGGAACCTTACCGCGGTCGCCACCAGGGGCCGTTATCATAGCTAACACGATTGTAACTATGCACCGTACAGAGCCGACGTTTGCAGTACAGCCGATAGAGACAGACGCACTGCGGACCACGCCCAAGCTCCGACCCGACGCTAACTACCGTCTGCACATCGCCCACGAGATTGTCTACGTCACACCCGCAGCGACACCCAACGCCATCTTGTACCAATGGCGCTACGAATGCATACGAGAGTAAGCGCATAAGATATAGTTAGAACCCGCACACGCGTTCTCTGTAAACTTCGATGGGAAAATACACAGTTAGCACGTACACACTTTACGAGCTTCTGCGCACTGTAGGAATGCACATGAATTTAAAATTATAACGTGTGTATTTCCGGTAGAGATATAATGTGGGTATATCGAACAATGACAAAAAATTTCATTGCAACGATCTAAAACACCCATGAGGCTCGTTCATCACATCACGATCAAAAGAGTTTAGATGAAGATTCAAAAGACATTTTACATGAAAGTTTCATTAACTGATAATACCGAATTCACAAGACATCTACTTGTATTAGAAAGAGCATCAAACTATAATTATGTAAATACCTGACGTGGTTATGGGTAGTAATAAAGATTTTATAAACAATAACGAAATTGTAAGTCGAGTAGTCGTAATAGAAATAGGAGGCCATAGGGCACACCAGTATATCCAAACACTGGATAATATATTGATTGTAGCATATACGTTGTGTACGTAACGTTGAACCCGTTTGATTCTCGGTTGCAGATACAGTTCCAGACCAGCGATGTTTTATTTCAAATCGATAGATGGCAGAGAAGAACGACAATTCAGGTTTAAGACGGAGCCGGGGAAAGGAAAGGAACTGCACGAGAAGATGCGAATTGCCGCTAGACGGCGCATGGAGGAACTCTCGCAACGATAACAGTGAAATACGGACTATGCGCGTGCGGCGTATCTATGACAAATACGACATACGCATATACGCTCTCCTATTGTCATAGGAAGATTCTTCCTATGACAAATATTGTTGTATGTGTCGTGCGCATCATAGGAGTTTAGGAGCGCTATTATGAATGCAAGCAGTGAATTTCAGCTGTAAAGCGGAACGAAGTTGACTCGCCAATATTTGTCATAGGAAGAATCTTCCTATGACAAATAGTGTCATAGGAGAGCGTATATGCGTATGTCGTATTTGTCATAGATGCAAGCAGAACATGTTGGCGTAGCATACCTCGACACAGGCACCTAGTCGACTACAGAAATACATGTCAACGACATAACAGGAAGTTTTACATATTATAGAGATATATCATATATAGCGAATAACACCTTAAAATATTATCATGTATCATATAGCAAATGTGTTACGTGTACATCAGTAATGGGTTATAGATCTTCAATAAATGTTATTTTATATAGAAAATATGAACGTTACGTCTTGCGATCTTTGTCTTTTTGTTATTATGGTAGGATAGTTTTACAAATGTACGGCAGTTTTTATGAAACAAAAACTTTTAACATGCGCGCGCATACAATATTAGCTCTTCTATATAAGAGGGACCGATGCGGTCGTCATGGCGACAGGCGGCTACCGTATCAAGCAGGTGACGCAGAGCTTTGAGGGACCGATGCAGTCGTCGTGGCAGAACGCGCCGCAGTTCCTGCACGTGTGCATCGGCTTCAGATTGCACGCGCAATCCGACACAGCCTCCCGCTCCGCCGCTCCCGGTAGTACCATCTGCTGCTGCTGCACGGCGGCAGATATATTACCTGCAGGCGTTGACACGACAGTCACGGTGCCGTTGGGCTGGTTCTGAACGAGCACCTGCTGCTGATGCTGCTGCTGATGCTGCTGATGATGTTGCTGATGATGCTGCTGCTGCCCTGCCGTGGTCACCACCTGCTGCTGCTGCTGAAGCAAGAGCGGGCGTCCGTCGGCGGAGGCGGCGGCGGTGGGGGCAGGGACGTTCTGTACGTTACAGGGGATGAACACACTCCCGACGAGCATGCCCTGTGTGACCGTGTTGCCCTGCACGAGGTTCACCGCCTGCACCACCTCATTGCCATTACTCAGCAGCCCACCCAGCCCGTCCGCGTCGACGTCCCCGTTCTCCGGCGCCGCCGCGGCGACGACGCCCGCCTGCGGCGCCCCCACGGTGACGATCTTCGCGTTGTCGGCGCTCGCGCAGCGCGAGACGGCGGCGGTGGCGAGGGCGCCGCGTCCGGGCGGCGCGCTGGCGGCCCGCTGCGGGTTCGCGTCCGCCGGCTTGGCGTAGTGATGATGCTCACCTCCCGACGACGTCAGCAGGTAGTAGCGTTGGTTGAGGTCGTCCAAACCCAGCGCCGGGTTCCCGCCGCCGACACCAGAGGGAAGAGACGTCACCTGCACCTGCCCGCCGGCAATCAACAAGGGCTGCGGCGGCGTCCCCTGGAGGACTGGTGGCGGCGGGCCGAGCGGCGTCGCGCCCGCCGTGGCGCCACCGAAGCCGCTGTGCTGGTACATGAGTTGCTGGGTCGGCTCGGGTTGGCATTGCGACGTCGTCACGACGGTGCAGTAGCTCGCTGCTGCCGGTACGGCCTCTGCCCGGTCGCACTCGGCGTTGCCCGCGGCAACGCGGGATGTGGGAGCTTCGCAGCCTCCCGGCGCTGGAGCATCCCCCTCGCCTCCCGGCGCTGGAGCATCCCCCTCGCCTCCCGCCGCTGGAGCATCCCCCTCGCCTCCCGCCACTGGAGCATCCCCCTCGCCTCCCTCCGCCGTCTCCATCAGCTCGACGGGCTTCTTATTCTTGCTGAGCAGGACGGCCGTGTTGCGGCCTCCGCTCGACTTCAGCACCGCTTCACAGATCTGATACGAACGCTCCAGGTTGACGCCGTCCGTGCCGCCGCCGCCGCCGCCCGCCCCGCCTCCCGGTTTCCCGCCGCCCCCGCCGGGCCCCGAGCCGCCCCCGCCGCGACCCGCCGGACACTGCTTGTTCATGATATGCTGCTGCAGGAGCGCCTGCGTCGTCGGGCTGCCTCCGCCGGCATGCGCCTGCCCTCGCGCGGCTAGCTTAGCCTTTGTCTGTGCTTTGATCTGAGCGAGGGTGCGGGTCTGTCCGATGACGCGCTGCGGCCGCAACATTGTCGGGTAGACGCGGGTGGATGGCGCGAGGTAGGGCGCTCGCGGCTTCTCCTGCGCGGTCGCAGCTCGAACCATCGGCGCCGCCACCGCCGCTGGCACCGGCACCGGTGGGGTCGCGCTGGTGACCGGCACCTGAAATGCGAGAGACAGGTACAGGGGTGAGCGGGGGAAACCGGAGCACGCTATCACGAAGTGAGGATGGGACCGGACGATTGATCGAGGAAAGAATGCGTAGTTATCCCGACAGAGTTGCTAGAGAATTATACCCTCCGTGAAAAACGTGCACATCAACACGAATCGTCATGACCAGAGATGGAATCATGGCTAAACCGCGTGGTTGGTCTTACATTGCCCTCACCTGAGCTTGAATTACTGGAGCAGGTGCCTGCGGCATCTCGCCTACAAGCTGCACTTCCACTGTCTCATCTGAGCTCTCCTCCTCCCTCGGCCTCTTATACGACGACGCACTCTCCTCATCCAAACACACACGCTCCTATCGAAATGTCATCGCAGAGCTTAACACAGTACTTGCCTTAGAAATCGCCATCTATCCATTTAATACTAGTTTATATATATATATATTATATATAATATTGCAGACAGGTGATGTGCTGATTGTTCGGAGACTAAATCTTAACATTATTATCTCTCAAAGAAAGTATCAGAACGGTCAAAAAAATATGAACGCGGTTCGGAAAACATGAAATCCTGGCTTTCAGATAAATTCAAATACAATAAATTCATCAACCATTCGAAAAAATTCAAATTCAATAACAGTTAAGGATATTAATCAGCTAGCTAATCATTTAAACTGTGTGCTTACTACTCCTGTGCTTTCTCCTACCTCAAGATCTCGTTTAGGAGGAACTGGACTTTCCCTCTTTTCTACAGATGGCAGCACCTCTGCAGCAATCTCCAGCTCTGTAAAACGAGCAAAATACTGACAGTCATTACCAAAAACAGAAATGCAAATCGAAACCAAGTGCAATGATCTCAGAAACATCAGGAACAGTTGTGGCATCACAAGTCTAAAATGCCTTTTCACATGAAGTGTTATAAAAAAAAGTTATAATAACATTTCCAACTCATGGCACCCATAACTACACACGATATTACTGACGATAGACCCCCAGCACTACACTGAGATATCAACGAGACGACAGAAATTCAACGGTCGACGTACCCGGGACACAAGGCTCAACCTCCCCCACGATGACATCTGTGACCGAAGCCGATACCGGTGGCTCCACCGCAGCGGCAACTTCCGGCTCAGATATCGCCACGAGAGCGTCGGAGTCAGCGGTGACGGCCGGTTCTACATCGATCGTTCTATCTTCGAACGTTCTCTTGCAGCCCTTCAGCACCGCTCGCTTCTTCATCATGGCAGCCGCGATCCGCGAAGACTTCTTGACAGCGGCACGCGCCGGTGACTTTCGGTCCAGCACCATCTTGGATTTTTGACCACCTGGTTTACTCGAGCCTTTGATGTAGGCTTTGCTAGGAGAGCTGAACTCTTTGGGGTCGTACTGCCGTGATGCACACCTGTAATCAGGGGTCTAAATTAACTTTTGAACAAGGGAGTCCGACTCCCTGCCCTCAAAAAGAGGGAGTCCGCAGCAAAGTGAGGGAGTCCGCAGTCTGATGTTCAAAATTAAAGATATTAACAATAATGCATGTGCTTATTTTGAGAATTTAATATTAAAATTTAAAATAAGTGATATTTTTATATGTTAGTACACAAGTAACCCAAAATCTTGGGGTCGTACTGCCGCGAGCCACACCTGTAATGATAGCGAGAATGCTCTCAGTGGGGATATAGATGTGAGGAAGCGACCAAAGTAGAATTATAGATTCGATCTCACCAATCACAGATGTAGAATTACGCTGACAACGTAACAACGACCGACGCTCTCTCACCTTTCCCCCCACACTGGCTCAACGTAACAACGACCGACGCTCTCTCACCTTTCCCCCCACACTGGCTCAACGTAACAACGACCGACGCTCTCTCACCTTTCCCCCCACACTGGCTCAAAGTGTTTCTGTTTCCACGGATCCAGCTTCACGAGATCTTTCTCACCCTCCTGCTTCAACTTCTGCTTGTTCTCCGGCATGAACTCTCCTACGGGATCAAAGTTTGTTGCTACTTAATTAGAGAATTACTTAATTAATTAATTAATTTTATTAGAGTTAATTGCTACTTTATTGTCACGGTATGTGTAATGCCCATACGATGCAAACGCCCATGCCATCAATGACAAAATTTGTTGTAAAAGCAATATTTCAGAAAAATACTAGAGCTTAAAAATCACGCAAGACAGTTATACCCATGACCTGCTCTTGCTCTGAGGCAGGTTAGAGACTATTGCATTGCAAGTCCACTGTCCACTGCCAGAAAACCCTGCTCATACCTTCTGCCAATCTTTCCTTCCAGTCTTGAAGAGCTCTTGCTAGGAATTCATTGTTCAGAGATGAACTGGACAAAGACCTGGCAAAAAAATGTACAATAAGAAATGCCATATACTATAAACTATATGCCATATACATGTTCCTATACTATACTAAGAAGTAACCTTATCGAATTAACCACACGTCAAATAAAACTGTCTGTTCGCGGACAGCCGTGGTCAAACTGAGAATGCTTACTTTGGATTTCCAGCACATTCTAATCGCTCGACTTCAGGCAGCATCTGTATGAGTTGGTATTGGTAAGACTGAGGCAGCGAAACTAGGGTGTGCCGGTTTACCAGATTCTGCAACGGAAATACGAACGTGGCGATCACCTCTCCGAAGAAAAATTCACGATTGCCGAGTGCTTCACTCTTCTCCAAGTTCCTTCTCTCCTCGCGGAGAATAGGGTTGGAAGAGTGATTCACTAGCCAGGAGGAATCGCAACTAATGAACGCTACGCTACATCGCGACAACGTTGCACGACAGCTCGAGTGTGAAGCGGACATCAGAGGTCATCGTATCGTTAATTTCAGCCGAGCAATGCAATCAGCATTCCTACCCTGAGATTGGTGTGCACGAGTACGGAGTTTGGCGTCTCCAGATCGACGGTGACCTCACTCTGCGATGATCCGCTCGACCGTCTGTAACGTCGCCGGTGCACCTGCAAGCAAATGCCAGTCGACGCTCAAAACAAGCCCCTCGTCCATGTTTGAACAGAATCTGAAACTCGCGCACCCCTATACACAGTGCTGACAGCCAAGCATTAAATAATAACATTATCGCCACAGCTATACATGACCATGAACCAAGCAACATGCTCCACACTTGCCAGTATTATGCGAATAATTTGTAATTAGCATTTTAGAGTAATACTTATTGTTACAGGAGTAATGCATTTCGGATGACACGTTCGTAACGTAAAGTTCTGTCGTTCGTAAATAATATTTTCCGATCGAAATCCATTATATAATTAGAGAGACGTTTCTGCAGAAAACTTTTTAGCCAAAAGAAGTAGGCGATTCCATGGTCTCCCCGATTACAATCACAATTATCACAGTAAGTAAAAATTTAAAACATAGCCAAGCAAGTAGATGTGAAAACCAATGGCAACGATGCTCGTTATTTGTGAAACGAAGCCCATAAAATGCGAACGAACGACGCTCAATAGCGACCTACTTACCCACGATGTTGTCGACGTAGGCTCTTCCTTCGACGCGCCAAGCCGTTTGCTACCGGCAGATGCAGGCGCCCTCTCGTGGTCGCCGTCGCTAGCTACCTCGGCGTTCTGCGGCGTGCACTTGTCTTCGACGTGTTTCGACGTCCCTGACTTCTCATCAGCACCCTTCAGGTTCGTCTGCGACCGCGTATTCGCCACCGCACTGCTGCGAAGCGCCGTGACGATGTTGCGCGGAGGCACCACCGTCGCAGCATGCTTCGGCACCGCGACCTTCGCTAGCGCCGCCGACTGAGTCGCGTTCAGCGACGATGCCGCCGCCGCCACGGACGTTGCCGTGGTGACAGGCAACGTCGACTTCGGAGCTGCAGAGTTTACACTCGATGCGACGGCGGGCGTCGGCAGCAACGAGGCGGGTACGAACGGCGAGTTATCACGGGGTGCCGGTACCTGGGCTATAGAGTTTACCCTGTGGGCTGACGACGGCAACGACGACGCAGGCACTGATGATGACAGCAGTTTATTGTTCTTATTCGCTATCGAACAAACGAAAACAAGCATGTTTCAGTTACTCTTTAGCAAAGAACGCGTGGACCTTTAAAGAAGCTTGAATATGCATGTGTCATCTGTCAAAATACACTAAAGAGTGAATCATGTAGGTGGCTGAGTAAGACTGAAAAAGGGGTAAGTCTTAATTACATAATATTCGTAATATTTCGTAAAAGTCGTAATATTAATAATTTCTGATTAAACTCAGGCTATGAATGAGACAAAATATCGGACAAGAAACGTACCTTCTGCATCCGAAGGTCGGGTTGCTAGTTTCATGATGATACGTGGAAATCCCTTGTTCTTCTTGTACTTTGTCCTGAGTGACCGTCTCAATGGCGCAGCACTCTTTGGAGATGCGGAATTACTGCCTGAGACATCTGCAGCATAAATAAAAATAATAATATATAAAAGGCAGATGTGAAATTAAAAACATAAAACAGGGATAAATACCCCAAAATACTGAAACCATAACTGAACATAAAATGTGATAACAAATTGTGCGTACCTACACCCAAACTTTATCACTCTATAGATTTAAAAAGTTGAACAAGAGTCAATTGAGTCGTGCTGTGATGCGACTTCGACCCGACGTAATAATAGCTGACATTGAGAACAAAATGCGACGCATGACTACTTCTGGTCTCATAGTCATAATTAGGAATTCTTCCCCTTCACTCTACCCATAAATTTTCTCTACGAATTTACACTCGGAGCTCACAAATGTTCCTGGCCACGAGAAAAAACTCGAAAGACTGTGAACCAGTTGGAAATTCTCCTTCTTGGCAAACGCACGTGCAAAGCATCTCTAACCTGCCATTCACTTCAGTACCGGTGATTATAATATTGGTAATTAGTGCATGACCAAAATTCAATTACAAGTAAATAAGACTCTTAAGCCTCTTATAAGCCAATACCTACCTTAACTTTTAAAGCTTCGGGCGAAACAATAAATACCTAGTCGAGTGGTATCTATACTATATTATCTATAGCATGGTCTGGTCTACACAATTAATACCTCTCATAATTCATGATTCAATAAGGGATGCTCGTCTAAAGGAGATAATAAGATACATTCATTAGGCAACAACTACATGCCTAGTAGACGTGTCAACAACTTTTGAGATGTAATACCTTTCTTGTGGGCATCATTAGTAGCTTTATTTATCTGATGAGCAAGTCTGTTTTCGACACTCTCCTGTAGCGTTGCATCCATCGTCTTTTGAGGTGGCGGTGGAGGTATTGTTTTCACACCAGGGGGGAGTTTGGCATAGTATACTGCATTGTGAAAAAATGTTCTGATAGTCAATGAGACAACATCTGTAACTTCTAGTAGGGAAAACCACAACAGAATTTGAAAAGTAGAATTTTAACACATTCAAAACAAGGAATGCTCCAATCTCCACATTTTTAAACTTGCAAATTACCATTTATATGCTTTAGATACAGACGGATTTTCTTTACAGGAAATTTCATTGTATGTATGTCAATCCTAATGCTCCCTTTCACCTTTTTGCTTTTTCCGCTCAGCAGTGACACATTCCTTGTGAGGCTGGCCATCGAGTGGCTCTCCGTGTTCATCAAGATTGAGTTCTGTTGTCTGCTCTTCTTCCATCTCCAGCAGAACAGCGCCCCCTGGCAGGTCATTCTGAAAATATTACATCACTACTGCTGTCACTCAAATTATTATATACATTCGACAACATAGCAACTAGGTTGTCTAAAGACAGTCACCATCTCGAGTATAAATGCACTGTTAGCATTTAGAAATACATGTGCATCACAATACTTAAAGGAACAGTAGCCTCTAGGTTCTAGGATTATTTTCAGCTAATTTAGGTTATAATTGCGCTACATAAAAAGTTTCATGGTTCAATCACCATTAGAAATATTTTTAAAAAATGTTTTAAAACTAACGACTACAGTTTGACTACAACGACGGTGGCGCCACTCAAAGCGCACGATCTGAGAAGTTGCGCAAAACCACTTTCCAGCCAAGGGCTACAGACCGAGGGTATTTCTTATTTCTTCATTTAAAAGCAAAAGGATTGTAATATCTTATAAACGACATATAGTTTCAGTTATAATATGGATAAATTTGCCCTAAAATGAATATCGTTCGGTTAAATAGCATTTAGGTATAAATATAATTGCACTTTTGTGATTAGCCCTCGGTCATTTACCTGCAAAATAAAAATGCAAATAGCAACTTTTTCAGAGTGGCAGCACGGTCGCGGGTGTCATGGCGCCGTTCAAATTTCGTAGCGTTGATGTGTAAATAATTAATTAAGTATCTGGTGACATATACATGTGGGTATAGACGATTTGTTATACAGTAAGTACAGTTGTATGCAGTAAAATCCTAAAGGCTACTGTCCCTTTAAATGTTTCATAATTCAGGAGCTTTCAGGTTGCAATTCTTTATTATTGTAAAAAGGAAGATGGATACATATATTCTACATTGATATAACACAATATTTTCATGTGGTCATAAACATAATAATTTTAGAATGATTTTTTAACCATATTTATTGAACACAGTATATATGAATACAAACTGGTTCTTAAATAGGCCTTACACAGATAATAAAGATCCACGCACCTTAAGGCCATACACACCCATACGCCCTGCAACCTTGTAGAAGATACTGGATGGTCCATGGGAGTATGCGTGTAACATCGCATTCAGGCAAGCCAAAGGTGTTGTGCCACTGTGAAAAGTTGAAGATACACATCTTCACATGAAATGATAATATTAGTACAGATTTCAGTTTCTGTATATATATGTTATCACAAATCCAACATCCTATAGACAGCTATTACAGACAATTGTTCTGATCTTAAATACTACACCACAGAAAAATGCCATTTACAGGGTTCACCCCCAGGAACTTTGGAAGTCATGTTGTTTATGGATGGATGTCGAGGATGGCCTGGAAGATACATAGTTAATTGCAATTTGATAATGTTCTATGACATTTTTGGCACATAATCTTCACCTAATGAAGAAAGATTGAAAAGAAACAGGAACATGAATATTAAACACGCAGCTGAAAATTAAGGCATGTTGGAGAATTTAAAGGATGTCGTAAATTAGCTTCAGATATGAAGGCATCTCAGACCTGACATGAAGACATGGGGACAACCCTGCTTTATTACACATTATTTCAATAAGTAATTATAATGAATCTAACAAGTGACTATAATCTTCTACATACTCAGTTATAACTGAGTTAAAAAATTCTTATATTAAGTTGTTTATATATAAAAAGTTATTTCTGATATAAATATCAGTTTAATATACAACTCAGATACGTAAAATTATTATCATTTTCCACATGTGTATATAATTCAACCAATAAATTTACCTCACTGTTACTTAATTTATGTAACAGGGATAGAAATTAACTTTTGAACAAGGGAGCCCAATGGACTCCCTACCCTCAAAAAGAGGGAGTCTGCGACAAAATGAGGGAGTCCGCAGTCTGAGGTTCAAAATTAAAGATATTAAAACAATAACGCATGGGCTTATTTTTAAAATTCATGCAGTTGCACGTCTGCCAAATTTTCTTTGGACATTAGCTGAAAAATACGGTAATTCCGCGAGGCCGTGCTCCGGAATGAACTAGTTAGTGTGGCAGAATTTTCAGGGAGTCACACGGACTCCTGCATGTGTCAAATCAGGGAGTCCGACAGTAAATCATGGAGTATTTGACTCCGGACTCCCGTTAATTTGGCACCCTGCGTCATTTGGTTATTTGTACTAGTCATGCCAAGCTTTTACTTGAATCTCGTCAGCTGGTCAGAGAAGAGTTCAATTTAAATGAGAACGTTAACAACATGCAAGGATATATGTATTCACAAACAAACCTGATCTCTTTCAGTTGCTCTGCATCAATCACCTTCAGGATCTCTTTGTGACTCATGGGAGTAGCAGAATGACGCTGCAACACCTATAATAACCGCGAGACAAGTTGCTATATTGTGACAAAAATATAACAGTAAAACTGTGAATGCATGCTTCAAGGGCATATATATAACAACAAATGATATGTATGGTCACAACTCACCTACTGTGGAGATAATGAACCAGTGGAATACACTACCATAACACATAAAAAGGCACATTTCATTCAATATATATTTAACAAATTGCTAAAAATGTCATTTTAACAACATATACTAGCAAGGTTCTCCAAGCTTTTTTATTATAGCATGGCGGGTGCTGCCTTTACGGTCCTAGTTGCAAATCGCCAAAGGCGGGGAGTCCGGGGACTAAGATATTTAGCATGGCGGCTATGATATTTAGAGTGGCGGGTGCATTTTAGGATGGCGGGGCTCGATGATAGCCTGGCGGGCCGTCAGGCTATAAGTGCTCTTGGAGAACCTGACTAGATAAGAAGATAATCAGTTTATTGTGATACATCTATACACAGGGTGCAAAATAAACCTTCTTTGACTTGTAGTAATACTGACTACTAGATTTTGTAATCTAGTAGTCCGTGACTAATTCTAGTAGTTCAGAATTTTGTGAATACATAACATAAAGAATATTTTCATGTATATTTGCTAATTGATACTTTAATTTATTTAAAATAAAGTTATAACAACTCGCAGGAAATAGAAATAATTGAAATTATCAGTTTCTTTTATCCGTGTTAGTCAAAACTGCAGTGCTGGTATTAGGTTTACGCCGAGTCAAGTATTTCCTGCAATCTCCACATCCGTCACTAAATCTGGTAGTTTCGGACTAGCGCACTACCATTAATTTCTAACCCTATATATATATGTATATGCATGCACGTGTGTGTGTGCGTGTGTGCGTGCGTGCGTGCGTGCGTGCGTGCGTGCGTCATTATGTCTACGGCGTGCGTGATGTGTGTATAGAAATGATATTACAATATACTCAAATATACATTCTATTTGTTGAATTAGGGTGTTGTTGATATTATATTATAATTTTTATTAGTATATATAGCGTTGCGTTGTATTGTAACAAATGTGTATTACTTGGAAATTATAGTATTTTAACAGCTAATACATCTGTCACAGCATGATGGCAGAAACTACCCACTTTGTGCATAGGTATGAAGTTACTGAGTAAAAATACTGAGTTAACCTATTATTACCACACTATCTTACTCTGCCAAAGCCCTGCCACTTCAACAACAAGTTAAGTTTGTCGCAGGTTGATCAGTGGCACTGCCAGGGTCTAGGTCTCCCTGGGTACTGCCGGAACGTACCCTGGTACTATCTAATATTCCGGACCGTACCTCGCCTACTCCCTAACCCTATAACCATATCAGATAGTTACCAGGGTACATTCCGGTATGCCGGACCGTACCCAGGGCACGTTCCCGCAGTACCCAGGGAGACATAGACCCTATCAGCATCAGTGGCAGTGCAGTGGCAAGACAGTTTTAGACACTGGCAGCAAGATCAAGCCCGCACGTACAGCACACACGCGCGCCATTGACTATATATATACAACATGGTGTCGAACTCGCCGGCAGTCGCCGCCGCAGTTAGCCTGCAACTGGGTGAAGAAGGCGGCTGGCTGAACCGTTGGCGGCTGCGCTGATTGGCTGCAGCAAGTTTAATGCGCAGACAGGCTGCGAAACTACGCTTGTTGACATCGCGGGTGAGTCATGACTCATGGTATGCGCAGCCGCCAACGGTTCAGCCAGCCGCCTTCTTCACCCAGTTGCAGGCTAAGTATCATTTAGCATGTATATTTGAGGAATTTCTGTGATTTAAGCGCATTCTGGCGGGCCGATTGTCAAAATTGGCGGGTCTATATTGTTAAGCAATGTTCTGCGATTCCAACGATAGTTGGAAAGTGGCGTCACCTGCAGGAACACGGGAGTTGTAACTGATTTAAAACGGTGAGTTGTGGAAACTGCGGCGGCGACTGCCGGCGAGTTCGACACCATGTTGTATATATATAGTCAATGGCGCGCGTGTGTGCTGTACGTGCGGGCTTGATCTTGCTGCCAGTGGTTTTAGACACTCCAGTTTCGTCGTAATAAACTAGCAACAAAGTTATTTGCAGTTGTTATTAATATTAGGACTCGTATACATCATAACGATTGGAATAACTATTATATTAATTACTAGACAAACGTGTGCCTATAATCTAAGCGCAATATCATAGACTAAAAATCCGTAGTAGGCCCCTAGTGCTTAGGCCAGTTTAGGGCCTATTTACAAATAAATTTTGTTTAGCGCTACAACTACAAGTCACTTACTAGTTTGGCCGCTTCCACCCATGTTAGCTCTTTCCTTTTCTTCATCACGACTTTTTCCGAGCTATCTGTTTGCATTTTTGTAATCCATATCAAGATGTGAACATTGTTTTAAGTCTAATTCACCTAATGTTTACAAAAGTTCGTAAAACTCTACCAACGTATCGCCAGCCATCTTTGGCTTGAACAACGCTTGATCACGTGGACAGATTCGGCGACTTTCGGGTAATTTCGTCCTGACAACGCCTCGTCATCAAGATGGAGTGCAATTTAATCGGAGAAGCCCGTAATTATATTACAACGTTCTAATTCACGTATGCATTATGTTTTTTATTGCGTTTTAAGTGATTTTCTATGTATATATACTATATATATACTTATTATTATATATAATCCACACAAAATTATACAGCGCTTCTATTTTGCTGTCTGAATTTCAGCTTGATGCTAAAGTCAATCAACGTAGGCCTAGGCTACCGTTGTCTTGTTCTATCATGTTTAAAGTCAATTTGTTAGTTGTAGGCCTACACAACACACTAATAGTAATACTACACAGTGCGGCTGACAAGAAAAGACCTATGGCCACATTTGTAAATAATATCGAACTTTATAATTATATAATTTCACTTTCGATAAAATTGATCATGATTCATCATTCAATTTCATTGACCGTTTGACGTAGTGTTGACTTTATCGATTTGATCAACGTGTCTCTCCGTCTTCGTTATAGTCCCTTGGACTTTTCAAGAATACTATTTATGAGGTTATATTAAATATATAATAATTATTGTAGTTATATTTAAACTGTTTGTTTTAAACTGTTTTTTAAACTGTTTATTTTTAGTTAGTTTTATTATACTGAGAGAGTTAAACCGTTTGGGGTATATCAACTCTTTACAAATTACACATGTACTGATGTAGGCCTAATGCACTTGTATATTTATTATTACATTTAATAATTTAGCATAAATTATATATATAAGTGTGTTTAAAAAGTGAATCGAAATGCTCGCTACCCTGGGGTCGTCTGGCTAGGGATAGCCTCACGTTGATTCCATGTTGGCAGGGTTACTGTGATAGTCTTCTATCCATCCCGGTATTTCGACCCGTAGGTTGAGTCCGTATGGTTGGATGGTGTTTAGATTGTGGATCCAGTAGGCTTCTCTTTTCTTTCTGTTGCGGATCGTGCGTGGATGTTCGGGTGGGTCCGAGAAAACATAAATTATATATATATATAGTTAGATCAAACTAGGAATATTAATTACATTGTGCCTCAGTGTTGTTACTGAAGAATATACTTGGTTTAAAGCAGGATTAAACATGAGCCTCACTGCTGACAATGTAGAAGGGCAATCCATCTCTGCCCGAAGGAATAGCAGCTGTATGCTACAGTCACATACAACCTCTTGCGTGGATAAGGCAGTGGAAAAGATGCAGCAACTTCAACAGTTAATATACACATTGGATATGACTGCGAGTGATACACAAGGTATGATATACAGAAACATTTACAGTGTATTTATGTGTAAATGTGCTGCTATACAAGATTCTTCCAAGGAATTTCAGAAGATATGGCAGGCAATCCATCAATTAACTCCAATCAGTAATTATAGTCAATTACGCATGTAGTAAGTGGCTCAAATAAGATAAACAAATAAACTCAGATCAGTTCAGATATATATACATCGAGCTGTGAAAAAAAACATTACTATGTTGGGATCGTTAAAAGTCACAACTGGACATTAGGGTATATTATTGATTAGACAATTAAGGTGCATTGGAAGATTTATTGAAAATCACAAATTAGCTTTAGCTTTGAAGGCAGGTCAGACCCAACATGTGTGAAAGGCTCTGCAGAAAATCTAGCTATGTTACTGTGCATTAACTGTGATTGTAACTGTGCATAGGAGCAGTAGAAAGGCTGCTCATTTTAATGTTGTTTAGTCCCATGTTGACGTTTTCTGCAGGTGAAGGAAGACAGTGTGCAAGATTTACTACCAGTGTAAACCATGGCCACTGTGGGAGCAAGCCGACCCTCAGCGTGGAAGGAGTGGGAGCCGATACTAGTTAGTTTGTACCATGCATGTTTTCCACATTATGCCTGTGTATGGGTTGGACTCATTGAGAACACACCTATAGAGACTTCTACTGTTGTAGACAATGATTAAAATAAAAAATATTCATAAACACTAGCTTAAACTGGTAAGGAAGTGTACAATTTCTTGCACATTAATGAACTCGTCACATCTGTTTACTATGGGTAGATGCCAGCCCTGTCAATATGTCAGCCATCTTGTCGTCCGTGATGAAGCTTGTAAAACGCCTAAAAACAGACAAAGAGGTGACAGCTAAACTACTCAGCACAGAGAGAGAAAAGTCATACGTCTTGGAAAAGAAAGTTAGCCAATTCTCAGCACAGCGGCTCAATGTTCTTCCAGAGGCAGCTGAAAAAGGTTGAATACACGTGAAGCTAACTAGAGGACTTCTAGACGAGTTCATGGTTACATAGATGCATTGGTGTAGGGCATGGCTGTAGATGTGCTGCTGAAGTCAATAGCTTGGTTTGGTTTCAGTGCACAGAACTCGCGTTATGGATATCATGGAACTGGAGTGGCACACCTCGTACCAGAAACGCATCGAGGCACAGATCAAGCCGAAGGTGACTAGAGCAGAGAAGTTGAACACGCGCCTTAAGGCTGACATTGCCTTCGTAAATAAGCACTGGTGAGCATCTTCTATTGTTGCATCTAAACTAACTTTCTCTAAACTAACAACAATGCCACACAAAATTGGCAGAAAAATAATTTGTTACAATATCCATAAAATATTGAAAGCTTTGTAGCCTTATCTTAAACTGAAAGAAAAGTTTTTGAACTAGAATGTAATGTTAAGTTACCCCATTTTCTGTTTAGTCCCCTTATAGAAGGAAAGCTGAAGCTACAAGAGGAAGACATGCAAAAAATAGATGAAGCACAAGAACAGGTAACACCATAGCATTCAGTCAGTCAGTTAAATAAGATATATTTCCCACATACTTATCAATTTGATTTAAGTTGTTAAATTATTACTAATTTTGTAATATGACATGGAAAACATTGCAGCAAAAATATTAAATTATTATTTTATTCCCATGTTCAAAATCTGGTAATGAAGGAAATTGGAGAGAGGATATGAAGAGAAGAGATATAATCTCAATGCCATGACTTATTTCCATTGTTTCTCCTAGGCTACACAAGAGTTGAACGATGTGCTACTGTCTTATGGTGCCGCAGAAGAACATTCAAGCCAGGAGCACGAAAAGGGAGAATCGGAGAGGTTATCCATCAGCAAGAAATTGCGAGATGCCAACAGAAAACTTAAAAACGTCTGGTGAGTTAGGCATTCATGTGTAAATACAACACTGGTTACGTATGTCACTTGGATACTATACATTGTCGATAAGGAATATAGTCTATCATTTCTTGCACTGTGATATGAGAGAATGAAACGTGGGTGTCTGTATAATTGCACTGTGGGATTTTAACAGTGCTGAGCTGCAGTACTGCCAGGATCTCCATGCATCATATATACAGCAGGCTGAGGAATCGAGGGTCAAGATCAAAACTACAGCTGCAGACCTTCAGGAGAAGCTAGATACAGATACGAGGCTCGATGAAGATGAGTCGGCTATTGCTGCTTCTGTATGTAGGACTAGTTCTCAGTATATAATATATATATACTTATTATCGTATATTTATCCATGCTACCTCATATGCAGTAATATTATTACATTCCACACTATATATATGCTATTATAGATAAATCTCTGCTAATACTAAGATAAGAATGCATCTAACAAGATAGTGTTTTATCAACAATTTGTACTATCCTGCACCTAGGCCCACCTAATACAGGCAATTGTTTAATGCGTTATCATTATTTCAGCTATTGAGAAATGTATGTCTGACAATGCCAGCTACATCTAGAAAATTTTCATTATCTGTGTATTAATGTGATTTGATCATGCAGCTATATCTATGTGGATAGGTCAAAGCACTGGACAAGAAAAGAAAATTCCAAGAGAAAGACATCAGCGGACTGCAATTACAAATCAAACTGCTTGGAGAGGAGAGAGACAAGCAGGTTAAAGTCACCTTGCAACTTAATCTAAAAAAGATTCCAGCATGGACCACTCATACCTTAAAGCAAACAAAGGGTCTAAATATTAAATACAGCTATTTCTTATTGTCATCGGCAGCAACTATTTTAATAATGTGTATTTTTACATATAGAATAGATGGAACAAAGCATCGTCCAAAAAGGTGCATCATTAAAGATATTGGTCATTGCTATGTTTGTAGATTGCAGCGTGGAAGTCTGCTCTAACAGATATGCAAAACACGGTTCACCAGACAGCATCTAAACTGAGAGCCATTGTGAATAGCAGCAAGGTGCACCAGATTACTACTGACGACACACTCGAGAACATATCCGAAATGTATTTATATTTGATAATGATCTCACAGATATCTTGGTAGCCTGACAATCGTGGTTGTAGTCGTAGTGACAATTAAAGTGACAGTAGAGTAGCTGCTGCATTATGGACATATTATTATTGTATTGTTTGTTGTGCATGTTGTCACTGCAATGATCCATACTTTATAGACTCATAAAATACATCACGCACCAGAGAATCAACTTCCCCTCACACCACAGCATTACCATGCAAGTTTTTATAGACCATATCTGCACGTACAACATGTATATTTAAAGCAAAAAAAAGGTGGCAGCAGACGAAAAGGCAATCGAACAAATCCGAGTCGAGGCATTAGTGAGTCAAGTGGAGCTGCATCAGCTGACAGACGACTGTAAGAAGGCAGTGGTAGTCAACCAGGCACAGAAGAAGCAGCTGCGCAAGAACAGAGACCACAACAACGGTTTGGTGGAGATGCAGAAGGTATAAGCATCTGTCAACAGTAATGTCCCCCTCTTGACTAACAACATTGTATTTCAAAGTGATACATTGCATTGCTCTGCATACTATCAGGAGTCTATTAATACTATATCAATCTCCTGATACTATAGCAAAGAAATCAATAAAATTTACATAGATTTGTTTATTCTTGTCCTAATGAACAGCTATGTGATTGCACTTTTTAGCTTACGTTCTTTGTGCTAATTCTCAGATGAAGGTGGATGGCGTTCTAAAGCAAGTGAAACTAGAAGCACAAGCCTGCAAAGCTCTGTCAGCACGCATAGATTCAGAAACTGTCATGCAGGAAAAACTGAGAAGTGATTCTAAAAATAAAGAAGAAGTGGTAACATACACTGATAATCCAAAGCCTACAAGATATATTTAGGCCTTAATGAACTATTATGCAGTTGCAATTTTTCTTTGATATACTTTACGAAAATAATTAACCTTTTTTTCAAACTGTGATTCACATTTAGGCATTGTTAATTTATCTAATTAGCAGTTTCATACTTTTATCAATCATGTTTACATAAACTATGTCAGGTATATCTACATAAGTAGGTTAGTTTTCATTCTTGTTTCATCCTTCTTTCGTATGAGACAGCTAAGGGATATGGCAGAGAGCCTAGAGGCACAAGTAGCAGTCTTGCAAGCTGGAGTAACTGAAGCAAAGCAGAAGTTGAGTAGTCGGCAGCAGTCTATTGTCACTCTGCAGGAGAGAATTACAGCAGTCGTTGCTGAACATAAAAAGTTATGCCAGGAACTACAATTAAAAATAGATGAGAACCTATTACCACTTGAAAAACAAATGAAGGTACGACATGTCGTAATTCACGTCTCATGAATCTGTATAAAAATCTCTGTTGTTGTAGACCTGACACTTTATATTTACATTTTATATGCTACAGTGAGGTTCATAGTAATATGTTTCTGTGCATATAGTATGATAATGTGTGTGTCCCTTTTCACTCTTTTCTCATTATGTGATGAAAGTTCTTTCGAACTAGGTTGGCTTCTCTATGTTACAGACAGTTGATGAAAGTCACGGCTTTCAGCTTGCCAGTGTTGCTGAGAAAAGCAGAACTATAAATGAGAACATCTCCAAGATGAATGGAACGTGGGCAATGTTGCAGCGCAACTTGGTGACTGCTGAAGACACCGTTAATACCTTGAAGTGATGCAGTTCTGTTACTTTGCCATATGAAAGTTAAATACAGCTATGATCATAAACTAGATGACATGCAAAATCGAGGCAACTATGAAAAAGTACTTGTTCAGTGTTTACCCACAATTATATGAGAAAAACTAGCACAAAACTGAGTCCGTACCCTAGCCATATACCTCCACACATAAAGTCAATGTGAAATAAAAGATCTCCTAAGTTTTATCACACCTATATGATCAGTGTCTTTGTAGTGCTACGATGGATACCATCCAGGAACAGTTAGATAGAGAACAGAGCTTTGTGAGGCATGTGCTGGACTCTACAACCGAGGTGCAGGGAAGAATTCAGGATAAAACGGCGCAGCATGAAAACTACTTACAAAAACGACATGCAATTCTTGGACAGCAAAAAGTATACATGACAACTCCATCTTTGAAGGCCAACTTGAGTTGTATCATTGCTCATGCTCTTTCTTATTTATACATAGATATTCCCGTTAAAATCGTTGTTATCATGTTTATGTAACATCATAGTACTTGGTACTATATATAATTAAAGAAGAAACAGTATGTAGAAACAAAGGATCGACATACTATAATGAATGATGTTATGGTATATGCTACTGTTTTGAAGTTATCCTACTTTATAAAAGTAAGGATCTAGGAGTGCTATAATAGAATATATCAGCATAGAAAGGTATTCTGCAAACTCCGATTAATAAATAAAATAATAATGTAATTTGTTCTTCATCCTGCAGAAGGATCTCGCCTCATCTGTGGAAAAGAATAGGAAACTTGCCTTGCAATATCGTCAGCAGCAGAATGAGCATCTTCTAACGAAAGCCTGCTATATTCAGACGTTTGATGAGCGATGGTACTTTCAGCTCACAAATAATGATCTTAAACAGGTATACTTACTATCTTCATCATGAGCGTGTAATTGTTTTGCATTAATCATATTACTCATATATTACTTATTTCAAGGGTGTGAAACTGCAGCATATATGTTCTGGTCACTACTCATTGCAACTGGTTCGTATCAACAGATTTGCTATCAACAATAGTAGAGTTGTGCACATCTTTCCAATCTGTAGTGATTTATGGGTATTATAGCTATGCATGATGAGATGTCTGATCTGTGATATGAATGTATAGCAGACTCGCTTACAAGTGTTTTCATGCTGCAAGAGACGTGTACGTCTGTGTACAGCTGTTTAAATCATGTTAATCTCCTGCAGATACTCATGCTAGAGAACCGTTTTCGTGTGAACACAGATAAGTACAACAGCTTACGCCAGCATCTCCATACTATGGAGATACAGCAGTATGGAGCTTCGTCTGCATGCAACAGTCAGGCTGTACATCATCTTGAGAAGGTTTTAACTTTAGCAAATTATTCAGGTCTCTGCAAAACGTAGAGGAGAATGGAATGGGATGATAACGATGGCTTAGATGATGTGAAAATTTGTACTAAAATTCAAAATAATGCCATATCTCAACATAGTCTGAATTCAAAATAATCGTTCCCTTTTTAAATTGGTGATTGTAATATTTATTTTCTAGGCAATTATGGATGCCACCCAGTCCATGACAGAGCGTGTTAGAGAGGAACTTCATATTCACAGCCTAAAGTATAGAAGAAACATTAAAAACCTGGCAAATACAGAACCAATCCCACCAATAAAAACGTACTGTTCAGTGCCTGTTCAGGAACACTTGATTGTACAAAATACATATGCGGGAAACAAGTTGGCTGAAAATGTCACACCTGTGCAGAACTAGTATGCTGTAGCTACTGCATCTTATAACAATACTCACATTATAGCTATTAAGCACAAAAATTAAGTCGACTGCACATTCCATATTTGGGCAGAATAAAAGACATATTTTTAAAAGATAAAGTAAGAAACGAGAAATTAATGTGTAATCAATTTCTGTTACGTATATATATTATATATATATATATATATATATATATATATATATAACCACAGTGCCAACATATTTAACACCGCAGCAATAACGACAATCACATGAATATAAGAACTCTAGATATGTACAATCCAGTGAGTGGAGCCGGCGTACGCCCCCCGCGTTTGCAAGCCAGAAAAAAAAAATCAATAAAACCTATAGTAACCTATTACTACTTACTATAGTAACCTAACCTTCAATTGTGTACGCTATCTGGAAAGTCATGAAAAGTGTTTTAAATCCTAAATGTAGGGAGGGGTGGGGGCACTATGGGCAGTTGCACTCCCGAAAAAGTAGCGTGGGCTGCATTAGTCCAAGCCGACGCAGACCCCAGTAATGGCGTTAAACCCGCCACGCCTCAGAATAGCAAAGCGGAGTTATTATGTCTAGCATTTGCGGACAAGGGCTGCATAGACAGACTGCCTGACAACATTGCGCAAATGTTGATGATGGGACGTTCTAATTTTGCTCTTCCTTTTTATATTGTAAATTTGACACTTTTCTACTGCGATCCGCAGTGTTAATCTGTCTCCTAATTCTGTCTTCGATACTTGGACGTTGAAGATTATATTCATGAGATTATGAGGTCATTGACCATATGCATGGAATTTGCTAAGGCCGATGAAAGTTGATGTCATGGTCTCGTCAGCGCCCGCCATCAAATTTTATCTCCCCACCAAAAAAGTTCAACACTCATCGCTGACGAAATTTGCCCCGCATCAAAAGTACCACATCATGAAATATCCCGCCTCAAAAAAATCACAATATACAGTCAGCACATACATGTATGGAAGACAAACAGAAAAAATTTGGTAAAACTGTCAACAATGAAGTTATGACATTTTTCAATCTTGTTTTGGCATATGACAAAACCTGATACCCTCACTAAGCTTCTAATTGGTGTTGATATGTGAAAGATGAATGTTGATCTCTAATCCTCATCAAGAATCTCCAGCAATGCGTGACGGAAACCATGAAATCACTATTCATCGGCCTAACTGGAGGTCCGACTGTAGTTAGCAAACGGTCAATTTTCCTTTCCGCCGTTTCCGTAAACCGGTTTTTTCTCGTCATCGCTTTTAAAAAACCCTGCGCATTACAAGATAATTATTAGAGAAACTACAACCGCAAATAATTAATAGGAATAATTATCTTTTACACATAATGGTTTTTCGCCTTGCTAAAACTGCTTATTTTTTATTAATGCAATTTTCTTGAGGAATTTAATTTTTGAGTGGAGTTTTGTCGCAATGTTTCCTCGGCTGTATCTTGCGTCATGTCACGTTTAAAGCTTTCTTGTCACTGTGATCCATTAAATTTTGGCAGAAAGTTTCATATGCTTTTTCCTGTCACATGATCATTATAATTGTGGCAAGAAAATTACACAACTATGTGCGGCAAAATGACGATCATATAATGTTGTTCCAGTCTTAAACCAAGTCATTGTGCGCAAATGCTGCGTGACGGTTTTGACACGAAATCGGAACTGGCCAAACTGGCAATGTTATTTTCAGGTCCAAACAGTGGCTATACTCGCATGAGATTGTAGTGTAGTCGTCTTTTGTTTTTCTGTATGACAAAATTCGTAGAGTTTATTCACATTATTTAAAAAGTTGGTGTTAGAGGTCGGATTGGAGAAGGTATGAGGACTGTTGATTAACAACAGTTATGGGACGCCTCTTCGGCAGCGAAGGTAAATGCCGAATCTGATTTCATTTTTTTGCTTAGAGTTGGCAATCTTTTGTGACACCAGTCGCAAAGTTAGGCTAAGTGGGTCACTGTACGTCTTACGTAAGACTACACGGCAGTACCGCCAGCCACAGGCAGTCTTATAAACGATAGAACTAGGAGTATCCGAGTAGGAGTAACTTGTAAGTATCTAGGTAGTTTGTCGCACAAGGGCGTGCGTGGCATCCGGAGGCTTGTGTGCAGTGACGTAACAGTGCACTAGGGCCTACTTAGTACTATCTAAGTACTACTATCTTAGTACTAGTACTTTAGTACTACTGTACTACTAGTTACTAATCAGTATAGTATATTACATAGTTAATTTCTACCCTGTACTCAGCTGTAGTCATATATATTAGTGTATCATATTATGACATATGTTTTTTGTCACGAAAGTGACCAGCCCAATGCTTGAGTAGCACTACCTAATATACACTAGTACTACATCAATGTTTTACATCATGCAAGTATGTAATATATTCATTATATGGGAAGCAGCGGTAGAAATGACTTTTGAACACGCTGGAGTGCAACGACTCGCCTATCACTCAAAAGAGTTGAGTCCGGCCAGTCTGAGGGTCAATAATTAATGATATTACATAACGCATGTTGCTTATTTAAGATTCATGCAGTTTGTCCGTCTGCCCAAATTTTTTTTGGACATGAGCTGAAAAGTACGGTAATTCTTGCGAGGCTGTTGCTCTGGAACGAACTAATTTAGTATGACAGAACTTTCACGGGTCAAACCGGACTCCTGCATATGTTCAAATCAGGAAAGCGACAGTAAAGTCAGGAGTATTTGACTCCGAACTCCCGTGTAATTTCCGCGACTCCTGGACCCAGTATATCTGTGATTGCATTTATAGAATGTATATATTCTGTTCACGTTTCTGTATGTTATACGATATCTCCATAATATAGTATATATATACCAATTTGTGTTAGTTTAACAGTTAGGTATGTCAAGCTATGTTATCTCATTTATCTGATCTAACATCTTTCTAA